GGCCAACTTCAACAAAGCCCACCCGTAATTCACACCCACTGTACACCCAGAGGAGACGGCCCAAAAGACCTTGACGATGGCGTCTTCCATCTTGGTCCGCCTGGAAAGGTTACGTTTCCTAGGAGCGTGAAGCTTTGGGACGGATTGCAGGGGGCTTTCGTTCAGGCCTCGGGGGTTGCGGAAAAAGGCATACAATCAGGTTGCGGGCATAGTCCATAGGGGCTGTTCATGCTCGCAGATGCAGCGGGGTTGAGGTTTGCAGGTGGTCGGGACTTTGGATACGGCAGTCCGTGACTTTGCAGAGGCAGCGGCAAAGCGGATTACGCCAAGAATCGAGAGTCCCCCTCTCTCATATGCTTCTTGTGAAGGACTTGGGGAGAGCAGGGAATGAACGCCTAGCCGGTACAACAGTGAGACAAGCGGGTGCGATACAAGGGAAGTAACAGCGACCAACACTCCTCTCGACTCTCAACCCCAACTCTTGAAGGTTAGTCAGCCCTGTGCCGAGTGTCGTGCATTGAACACCCCAAAGCGCCGGGCGCCTAAATAGTAGGTCTCGCCCAGGCATGTCCGAGAGTGAGTGCTGAAATAGTAGGTCTCTAACCATGTATTATGTTTACCTTTATTCAAGCAACTCGGGCACTGGATCCCTAAAACCCTAAACCCCCTAAGCAAGTTCTTGGCTCATGATGCCAGCAGTCGCGTGTAATTCGAGCTGTCAAATCAGCTTCGTCAACTTGAAGCTGTAGTCATTTGTTCTCGAACATACCCTGCGATGCGGGCGTCGTCCTTGCTAAGTGGGATGGAGAAAATAACCTTGAGCCTCAACCCTTTTGCATTCTCGTGTGAGGGTGAGAGACGAAACCCATGACCCAAGCGTATTATTTCCAGTGGCAGGCCGACCTCCTCGAGTGCTTCATCGCCTGGTGCCCCTGGAAAACTAGGCAAGAACAACCCTTATAGAAGGTTTAGAGATTAGGATACAGTAAAGAGTGAGAGGGTGCTGGAGAAGCACCTAGACTATGAAAAGCCCTGGCTCTGAGACCGTCGCGCCGAACTGAAAAACATTTCCCAACCAATGTGCCCAGAAGCCACAGGTGTCTTGTCAAGGGTGTCTCTTCCGATCAATGCAGAGTGTTTTGTCTGCTTACCTGTCCTGGAAACTGGTCCGACTGGTGGCTCAAGCGGTGTCAGCAGAGCTTCACAACCCCACTCGCCTTTGCTTTGTGAACATCATGGGGAAGGTGCACGGCAGTTTGGCACGTGCCGGAATTTTGTCTGCACTTGGGAGCACTGAGGCTTCTTGCGGACATGGTTCCGAGGTATCATGTTCCATCACGTTCCTTGGTTTTCGATGGCGAGGGTTTCGAATCGGCGCCACCGGGGGACACAGTGTCGAGTTGCAGCTGAAGTCGGCTCAGCACAGATTTTCCATGATCATTATTTGGTTACTATAGGAGATGCTACATAGGAAGGACTCTCCCAGTCTAGTCTGGGGTGACTGAGGCAACCATGGTCCTCGACTCACCAGTCTCACTAGTGAGTCACCCATCAACGTAAAGGTGTCCAAATTTACAGACCGCATGCAACAGTGCAGGGTTGGGATCCGTCTTATACAGACGCCACTGAAAAAGGGACTCGAAAGCAACAAAGAGAGTTAGGTTATAGGCTCCGAATCTTTGGCCGCCAGTGTCTCTGCGGCATACTAGCAAAATTTGAGTCTAGGACCTATTGTAGGCCCTTTTTCCCTTTTTAAGGGTTCAGGTTCACTTAAAAGCCCCTTCAAACCAAAAAGGGCACCCGTTTTATTCCTAAGCTACTCTTGGGTCTAGGAGTCTATCTCCAGGTAAGGTGAAGAACCAGACTCCCAAGGCGGCATCGGGCGGTTGCGCATGTTTCCGTTGCTCGCGGTATCAGTTACCCTATGCTTCCAGGGACCTTATTATTGGGTCCTTAAGGGGTCTAGGGCCCTAAGTATAAGGTCCCTGGAAGCATAGGGTTAGTTGGTAGCATGTTGCGGTTCATTTCATACACCGATAGCCGGACGGGTAGGCAGACAGATAGACACATAGATACATTGCTAGACCGATCGAAAGAAAGATACATAGACAGGTGGATCGACAGACCAGCTAGGTGGATAGATGCGCAGGGATAGATAGACAGAAAGATAGACAGGTTAGATAGATTAGACAGTTTAGATGTGACAGATAGATAGACAGATAGATGCGATGATGCGGGTTTATGTATGTATGTATATATATATATATATATATATATATGCATGCAGGTTTCTGGACACCTGAAGTCGAAGGGTGGGTGTGATTATTGCGCGCTATTTGCTCGAGATGTCACCTTGACAGTCATGACCAGTGGCTAGGGGAACTTTTCCAGGTCTTGCAGTTGATGCAGTTTGTTGGATTCTTAACTCATCCCTTTGCTTTCAGAAGCAAGAGGCCATCCTGCGTCTTTGCTTGTTACCGTTTTGGCTCGGCTTACTTAGTTTCGCAGGTGTCTTTGGCTTCCCGTGGTCTTATCGCTGCAATGCCCCTTTCCCGGGTTTTTGAAAAAGGCATCCCTTAGAATCTCAATCCACAAAGCAAGTCGTTCACTGCTGGGGTCGTAGGCCAGGTGCATAATCTGCTTCCTTCAAGTGAGTTACCTGTAGTCTCCATTGTAGTTCCTTTTTGGGGTTACCTTTTGGAATCCTTATTATATAATTGGTTAAACCAGAAACAGGAACTACAATGGAGACTATAGGTAGATCTCAAGTTCATCTATATCTGCCTGAGAGCGCGCGAAAAGACTGCTATTCCCCGGAGGCAGTACCCAACCTGACCTCCCCCAAGATCCCTGTTCAGGTCGCCAAGGCCGAGAAGAAGAAGAGCCCTCTCGTGTTGGAGGGTTTGGGGCTTTTAGGGTTTAGGCTCCTGGCGTGACGTTGCAAGACAGTTGCAAAAAGATTAAGGGTTGCAGGATCAAGAGCTGTTGGTGTAGGGGCCTCGGTGGGCAGAACTCGGTGCAGGGATGCAGTGCTATACGGCTCAAGACAGCTTCGGGAACAGCAGGATACCTGTAGCCCAAATTCTAGTAAGCGTGAGCGCGTGAGAGCCAATGATCGCCGTCCTCGATGGCTTTGTGGATGAGGAGTTGCGGCAGTCGATCATGGGAAAGCTTTCGCCCCTCCCCGCCGGCGAGAGGACCGTGCTCTCCCAAGTTCCCGTTTCAAGGCAGCTGGAACAGCGGCTGCAGTCAGTTCTCAGATGGTGTGCCGAGGGTCGTGACCCAAAGGCTATGGCCTTGGAAAAGCAGTTTAGCGCTCCAGGTCCAACCAACTCCTTAGATACAGTTCTGATGCCAGGGAGAGTAGCCATCGGAAGTTCTCCTATGCACCAAGACACTGGATTCGATGCAACAGGGAAGCCGGATCCGGCATATGTCAAGGGCTTCGTGGCAGTGCTGTACCTTGCTGGTTCTGGCAAGCTTACGATTCACAGCAGCTCGGAAGAGCATGTGGTGGAAGTGAAGCCAGCGCGGCTCGTGGTGTGGCCCAACGATCGGTGTATCCATCGTTTAGATGCCGGATCAGGCAGCCGCATGATGCTGGGGCCCATGGCCCTGGACCTCGCTGGGTGGAAGCGTGCTGGGGACCAGTATGCTTATACAGTCGGATCACAGTCCCGTGCGATCGAAATGGCAAAACAAAGGGAGGATGAAGAGAGAGCAAGGGCGGCAGAGAAAGAACAGCAGTCGATGTGTGGCCTATGCACAGTAGGCCTATGCACAGTAAGCTGAGTTGGGGAAATGCCGATGCACATTGTCACATGATTTGCTATGGCAGAACGATGCTGGCATAAAAAAGGTGTCCAGCTTGCCTCTGCTTTGGGAATACTTGCGGGAGCATGAGGTTTGCAGTCTCCTATGCCCTTGAGTTGCAGAGGTTTCTGGTGGAAGTGGATGGAATCTGCCGAAAGTCGCTTCTGCGGTGTGAGAGTTGTTGTGAAACGAGTGTGGACGAAACTTTTAGTTCGTTTGTCGCCGACCAGGTGTGCCAATTTGCAGACTGTATGCATGTACTCATGCTAGTTGTTGCTTTCCCCTAAACCTCGTCTGACTTGTCGAGCACGAGTGACAAAACTATGGTCACAGCATACTTATACATATGTTTATGCACACAATATGTATGAACACATAAACTAACAGTAATACATAAGCACAGATACATATTAATATATATATATATATACACACTCATTTATTGTTTATGCCTAAAGAGAAAATATGTGTACACGTGTGTGCGTGCGATAGAAGCTGTGACTATTGTTCGGAGTGCTCAGTAACCGTATGGCTAGTTGTTACAACAAAAACCTCAGGCCTGTGTGTCACACGAACTCACAGACTTTGAGTTTAGGCTTCCCTAGGTCTCCAGTTACCTAAATAGTAGGATACTGTGGTATATAATACATGGTTAGTAACCTACTATTTAGGTCACTGGAGCGCTAGGGCTTGTGACAGGGAAAGCTAGCTTTCTGACTCCAGAGGTGGGCCGCTTCGTTCTGGCAATATTAAATATAGGGGCTTAATAAATAATTACCTATACTCTTCTGGGGGTTTCTTATTGTCATTATAGTATAATTGGCCCCAAAACCCTCTTCTAATTATGAAGGAAGGCCCCTATATTATGTTGTGTTATGTTTCGGCTTCCTAGCCTTTGAGTTTGGGATTTCTGCACCTCGGGCTTCGGCACGTTCAGGCCCTCCTATGCAGAAAGAAAACCCTCCAAACTAACCATAGGCCCCATAATACTTCCTTTTGGGGACTCATATTCAGACTCCTACAAGGTAATTTAATCCCAAAAAGGAACTACTATAGAGTCTACGGGTAGATGCCCTCGTGCGCGGGTTCGTCGCTACGCAGATGGCCGCATGTGCAGTGTGTCGGCCATTAGTCTGTCTTCTTTGCTACCCGTGAATGGAACAAGAGTACATATCCGGCCTACACATGACCACGATTCAACTCAAAAAATCCTGTTCGGATCTGCCCATAAACCCTGAACCCCCAGAGATGACCCTATTATAGAGCCCTATAGCACTTTTAAAATGAGCCCCTAAACCCGTAAACGCTAGTAACTAAGGTTCGGAAATCCTCCCAACAAACCTCTCCGGACCCAAGGAAGCTCACCGGCCGCGCCAAGAAGCGCTTCGTTTACAACCGACGCTTCGTGAGCGCTGCGTGGTCGAGATTCGGACGGTTTTCGGGTTCAGGGTTTAGGGTTTAGGGACGGTTTCGGAATGGCTACGGCTCAAGTCTGGCTACGAGGTCCAAATGGACACCTTCGTTCCTTGCAAGTCTATTTCCACGGCTGCCATGGTTACATCCAAGCTCATCTCCTGCATTGGGCATTCGATCCGCCTTGCGAGAAGCCAGTGCTGTGAGGAGGCACGCCATCACCTTCAGCAAGCTATGTACTACCTCCTTCACAACAGTACCAGTTTGAATGCCACCGACAGGTCTGATCATGATCCTACGCCAAACCCAAAGCGGAGACGCACTATCAGATTGTACAGGGCATTATGCTCACAAGGTGAAGAGCAGTCAGAACCGACTACTCTACCAGAGGTGTCCGTTTCGGCAACCCAAACAGAGCAAGAGATGATTACCAGGCCAGAGTGTGAGAGGCTTGTTAAAGAAATGGTGGATCGGACTGTCCAGCAATTTGCTGTTGTACTGCAAGCACAGAAGGCAACCATTGCATCATTACAGGCTCGTGTTTCTGAGGCGGCGACTGCCACGCGTGATCTTGAAGCTGAAGGGGGTCCGAATGTGGGGTCGATGTCACAAGCTGAGTCTGCACTTGGGCAACAGCCACTTGTTGAAGTATGTCACGCTCCGACCTTGGTGTCTGATCTACAGCTCTTACGCGAAGAACAAAATACGCGCAGGGTGGCGAGAAAGCAAGCTCGCCGAGCTGAGCGTCAGAGGGAACAATCCGGAATGGGTTCAGATGAGGATCCCGACTGAGCTTCTTGACCTTCTGTACAGAACCTCGCTTGTGTATAGAATGAATGCATCTTCTGGTAACATAGACAGTGTCATTGCAATTGTGGGCGAGTCTGTTCTCCTTGTATTCAGCAAGTGTAAAGACGACTCACTCGGACCGGGCTGCTGGACAACGAGGCCTGCTGCAAAAAGGGACGGTTTCGGGTTTAGGGGGGATTTGGGAACCATTCTAAGTCAGTGATTTCGTTGTGTGTCTGGCCTTGTTCGGAGAACAGGTGCGACACGTACACGCGGGATTCACACAAGCGCGTGCAAAAAGGGGGGTTTGGGCTGGAGTCCAGTAGCAAACGGGGGTTTAGGAAGTTTAGGGTTGAGGGTTTTGTCTTCAATGTGTCCAATTCTTTGCGGGAGGTTGGGATCGACGCGTCCGGACGGTCCGGAAGTGTGCAGTACTTCGTGGAATCTTGCTGATTACAAAAACAACCAGCGTAACCACCACCTGTGGGAAGAACGCGTAGAATCCCTTCTGCGGGCCTTTTCATAATATGCTGGCTGTCTTCCATGCCGCAATGCCCAACTCAGCCAAGGTCGTGAAGAGCGGACCAAAGCGTGGACCCAACTCCAACGCCGGAAAGTAGAGACGTGCTGGACCGAGACCATGGGTAAGTCCAGGATGGCAGATCTGTAGCAAGGGTTTAGCGCCGCAGTATCAAGATCTATGAAAATGAAACCCTAAACCCTAAACCCTAAGATGCTACGTTTTGCTTGGTGCCAGTTGCGGAGCCCTGGAGCCTGAAGAGTGCGCCACTGAAACCCATGAGCCGAAGCCAGAAATCTGCAGAAGCACCGACACCATAAAACAGGCCTACCCATAGGCTCCATCATAGTTCCTTGTTTGGGATTACCTTACTGTATATGGTTCTAGATATGCCCCCGAAAAGGAACTATTATGGAGCCTACAAACAAACCCAAAACTGTTTGAATGAAGCCTTCCAGAAGGAGAGATGCGGATGCCCTGAGAGTGGCCCAGACCTGGACAGACTCGGGGCTGCTGATAGAAAGGGGCCTTGCAGGAATTCAGGGTTTAAAGGGTCTTTGATTCGTATTTCTGCCTTAAACCCTAAACCCGGGCTAGATTGCTTAAGTTTGAAGGCTAACACAACTGACTTTGGAGATGACGGGTCAGCAGTTTCGCACGTGCTGCTTGTGCCGATTAGTGTTTTGTGCTGCAAGGTCCCATTCTTCAATATTAAATCCTAAACCTTACACAAACCTCTTCAAGATGTTCACTGTTTCCACTCGAGCTGAACTCCCTCGGCAAGTTAGGTGTCGGGTTTGGGGCTTGTTTAGGGTTTATAGGAGGAGAGCAAACTTGAGCTGCTTTCTTCTACGGCAAAAGCTTGCTTTGAGCTGAAAAACGATTGTTTGCACTTCAAGGTCGCCTGAAGCGCTGTCCATGGAGCCTCTACGAGCTAAGGGTACAGGTCAACTAGCTACTATCGGGGCCTAAATAGTTACAATGACTATGTTGGGGTTCCTTATTATGTTTATAGGATAATGGGCCTTTCAAAAGCCTAGTATAGTTGCCCCCTATACCACGCAATTTCAGGCACGAGTGTTGAAAATCCCACAATCCCACTTGATCTTGCATGGTCCGTGACCGGGACCTCTTAGCCAAAAGCCCTTTCCCAAACTTGCCAAGTTCTCACCTTCAGCTACCAAACCTAGTTTTTTGTGGGGTCCCCACAAAGTCCATATTAGGGTTCATAACAAGAACCTGCAAAACAGTAGGCTCTGGTAGTTGAAGGTAAGGGTGATCGGGCCTGACATCCCAAACACTTCCCCTAGGGGTCTAAAGTGCCTAAAACATTGTTGGTTCTAGGATGGCAGTTTTGCACGTTACTGTTTTAAGTTTTAAGAGTAGCTGATTATTATCTGGTTCTTGGACCCCGAGGCTTGTACCTGAACCCCAAACGTATGTAGAATAATAGCCTTTTATAGGTTTGGGGCCATTTTTTTACCTACTTTTGAGGGTCCCTAAACCCTAAACCCTAAAGGCTAAGGCCCTGAAGGTACCGCTGCTCCGGGGACTCGACGTCCCCACAGGTTTGCCACACGACGAACCTACCCTGGTGTTGCACTCAGTCTGAGGATTAAGGTTGAGGCAGCTTATGGGTTCGGGATTCAGGGGATGTTGTGAGGGAGGAGAGCCGAATACCATGCAATACCTGTTTCCATGGAGGCATATCTACTCAGATCATGCTTTAACGACATATGTATGCCTTATAACTTATGATTACTGGTCATCGGGCTCTCGACGCAAGGGACTTGGTCCTGTTTATTCTAGCACAGCTTGTAATCCTTAGAGAAAACGACATCACTGTGGAAGTCACTGAGGGGCTGGGGCCAGATTGTGTCAGTGAACTTGTCACGCCTCCCGAATATGAGATGTTCATGGATGGGGTCCAAGGTTTAAGGTTGAGGATCAAGGATTTGATTTCGCGGGTTCATCCTAGTCTTGTATATACTCAAACCACTCAGGCCCCAGGAACCAGTCGGGAATAAACCTGCAACCTGGCCGCCGCAACTCTCAACCAGAAGTCCAAGGCTGAAGACAGCTTAGGAAGGACAGAGCTTGAATTGAACAACGGTGAGGTGCGACATCTCCTCGCCCAGCTGGGCGTCCGTTGCGGTGCAGCACTCAAATTCACTCTCAGAAATCTGCTCGTCTAGCAAAAACTGAGCTTGCACAGGATGTAGACCTACCACGCATGTTGGGAAGCAACAGGGTTGCAGGTTTACTCACGTGAGCATGTCTTTACGATCTATAAAGGATCTAAAGGCTAAGCTGAAGATAGAAAGCTCGCGTTTATGCATCGGTTTGGGCTTGTCAACTAAGTTGAACTGCAGAAACCCTCTTTCCGAGGCTGCGGACAGATGTTTAGGTCCAAGGTTTCGGCTTAGACGGTTTATGTAGGGTTTATGTAGCAAACGGATTTTGATTTCCGTCTCAGCTTCTACTTCCAAACCTGTGCACCACTCATGTGTGAAACTGCCTGACTAACGAAGTGATGCGAGAGCATCTTCGCGATTTTTGCTTAGTTCATACGCAGTCTTGGACACTGCCGTTTTGAGTCCGACCAGGCCTTTCCCGAAGAACACTAGAAAAGGCAAGCGGTCTGGCTGCCGGGCTGCCGAAGCCGCAAAGAGTACAAACCCTATATCTAATCACAAAACCCTATAGTTCGGATATTCGAAATCCTAAACTCTAATCCCTAAACCCCTAACCCCAAACCCTATAATCCCTAAACCGCGCTTCCAGGCTGCCGCCCCTGCACTAGCCCGAGCCTTAGTCCTCGCATCTGCGCTTGGAATCATAGGGTTTAGGGTTAAACCCTAAACCCTAAACCGTGCTGGATGGAATCCGGTGCCGTGATCATGATACGTTACCGTGTGTCGACTATACCACCATCAGAGCTAAAGGAACATACCATAGAATAAAGATGAGTAGCCCAACAATCGACCGGCGTCGTCGTCATGATCGTCGTGGCGTCTAATTAGACGTCTTTGTCCCGGTGGAGGAATGGAAGGTTTGGCATATGATAATACTTGCAATGGTTCATGTCATTCTTGATACGAATCGGGGTAGTCGTCATCGTCGAGATAAGGACTTAGGTGTAGTGGTGTTGGCAGTAGAAAGTAGTCGTGGTCGCCGTCGTCGTCGATGTCCTAGTACTAGTCGTCGTAGTAGTAGCAGTAGTAGTAGTCGTCGTCTTGGTCGTAGTCGTCGTCGTAGCAGTAGGTAGTAGTATAGTAGTACAGTAGTAGCAGTAGTAGTGGTAGTAGCAGCAGTAGTAGCAGCAGTAGTAGTAGGAGGAGGAGTAGTAGCAGAAGTAGTAGCATTAGTAGCAGCAGTGTTACTAGCAGTGGTGGTGGTGGTGGTGGTGGTGGTGGTGGTGGTGGTGGTGGTGGTGGTGGTGGTGGTGGTGGGAGGAGGATGGAGTAGGACTAGGACTACGGCGGTCGGACGGACCCATGAAGTGACGAGCCCACGGCCGCCAGTGCAAGAGACCCGCAGGAGCATGGTTGCAGTGTGCACAATCTATCGGAGATGGCTTCAGCTTTAAGGTTTAACTGTTTGAAAAGATCATATTATGCTCCTAACCCCCTACGCCGCCGAACGCTTATATGCCAGCATCAAAGTTGTTTCGTTGCGCCTTTGAGGAGCAGGTGGATGAGGACGAGGTGGTGTTGGAAGGAGAACCGCTCGAGCTAAGGCTATGGCTCTGGCTTGCGACTGTGTGAGTTTCGATGCTGCAGGGATTCGCAGTTTGACTTTTTTGGGATTAGGGGTTCCTGAGTGACTTTGTTTGTAGTTAAGGCCCGTATGTAATGCTTCCGGATCTGCCTGCAAATGTTGGACTTTTGTTCAGGTGTCATGGAGTGGACTGTTCTGCACCAGTGCATTTCGTGAAAGTGCGACCTCGAGTTGCAACTCTGCAGTCAGATGACTTTGTTTTTTGCCGCTTTAATGCACGCTTTCCTTGCCTAGGCTTGAGCTTGAAGCGGGCTTGTCATTTTCCGGCAGTTGGCACACAAGGCGTCCCGATATCAAACGCCCATCATGGGACTAGTTGTGGTTATAACCCTAAACCCTAATCCCTAAACCATAAGTATAGCTGCCTGGTTTCTAGTCACAAAGTCCCATGCACCTGTAAGCAGGTCTTCCGTCAAGCGGCATGCTGCTGTGCCTCCGGTATTTCTCTGGGCCGGGAGTCCCAGGCCTATAGTATAGTATAGTATAGTAGAGTATAGTAGAGTATATAGTATAGTAGAGTATAGTAGAGTAAACCTGAGTATACCATATAATATCTGCGTCTGTGCAGTACTATAGTATGCTCTGGTGTAGTAGACAATAGCAGCTGCTACAGTATACTATAGTCCCAGGTTGAATAGGCCAAGGACTTCTGGCTAGGCCGCATGCACCTCGCAAGTGCCCGCCAAAGACAGGCTTTTGGGTTACAGGGGCTGCACGGGTGCAAGGCCGTCGCAATGGGCCGGATGCAAAAAGGGTTGCAGCACCCGTACTTGTGAAGATCCGGTGTAGTGACCTGCTGAATGAGAGGGGTCTGGTAATCCACTATACACCTCCTCGCCTTTTTCCCTCTGTGTTTTTCTGGCAGCACAGGACAAGGCTGCAGGTTTGGGCATCTGTTGGTGGTCGACTCCAAGGGTAGATCGCCTTCACCCGTCCTAGTGACACCAGGCATCCAGGAGCTTCGGCACTGAAGCTTTACGGACTTCACAGCAGCTTTGAGGTTTAGGGTGGCCTTGAGAACTCCATCCCGCCAACCTGCATCTTGACATAAGGGCAAGTTGCCCAAAACCAAACCCCCGAACCCTACAAGGGGACCCTCATAGGAAGCCTTAAACCAACCCGTACCGAAGGGCGGAATGCTCCTCTCCTACTGCGTTGGCCTGGTGGCCGTACACCGCGCGGCGCTGTGGCAGCGGCCCCGGTTACGGGAGTTCGGGCTGCAGGGTCTACTGGGTTCTTGTTAAGGAATTTTGATGCAAGTTACCATAATAGGGATCTATTGTAAACAGATGTAACTAGTACGGTTTTCTTATTAAGGCATCTAAATTTAAGTCCCTTAACAAAAGCTCAATTTAGTGCTGCAGAGTTCGGGTCGGGAGCTGGTCGGAACCCTGAGAGACCAGTTCACAACGAAGCAGCAAGCCTGCCCCAACTCGAAGTGTGACTGAGCAAAGCTCTTCAGCGATCTCATGACTTGTTGTTGTTGTTGTTGTCATGATACACGACTGGTCATCGGCTCGGTATGCTCTTTGGACCCGGTACTCCTTCAGGGTGACAGTACGAACCAGAACAACTGTGGCAAAAACATGCTCCCGGTGTAGTTCTTTGCCAATTCTTGAAAGAGAAGTCGAAAAGTCTCCCAAACTCCGTGGCTAGAATCCCGATAATAGCCCTTATTGTAGCCCTTACAGACCCCTTTAAAAGGAGCCCTTAAAGGTTCCCTGGAGTACCGAGCTGATCCAAAAAGATCACAGGGTGTCACGAAAGCCCAGGCCTGGACCCCGACAGAATTCCGAAATCTCAGATATTCTCCAACCCACGCCATTTGGGAGCTTCCGAAAAATAGGGGTACCTTTAAAGGCATCTATAAGGGTTCCTTTAAGGGTTCTTTAAAGGGTTATTAGGGTTTGGAGTTTCCGAAAATTAGGGTAGTACCTTATTTTTGGGGTCCTAATAATAAGGATGCTACTATTTAGGGTGCTATATCAGGATCCCCTATATTCGGAACTCCCATTTGTGCCTACACGATGCCAAGCCTTCGTTAGATCTTGTCTTCCTTGAGGCTGGTCGACGAGTACTGGGCAAGTCGAGAGTTTGATCCCTTCGTGGTGCGCTTCCCCACTAGTTCGCTGGCTTCGATCCTTTCCAGGTTAAAGTTATCCTGTTTGTGAGATGTATGATCTGACAGCTGGGCCAGTGTTGGGAGGGAGCAGCTTGCCTGAAGCAGCAGATCTTTACTGAGCTTCTCAGTTTGTTCGCGCCACGTCCCTCTGGAAATTGGACGGTGTCTCCACCAGTCACTAGTCCGCCACTTTGGAGCTGTAAACCTGCATATAACACGTAGCCGGGTCCTTGCCAAAGCGTCCTGCAGGGTCTTTACATGACGTCCCCTGCCGCAGAAGCAGTCCTTGGACCACTTTCCACTGTTCTTGCTGGTGCTGCTCGCATTCGTGCCGAGTGCCCAAGTTTGAGGCACAGTAGGTGCCAGGGCCACTTTGGAGACTTATCGGGGTGAGGCCCAGAGCCTGAACTTTGATAAAGTCGGTTAAGCTCCTCAATTACATTACATAGCACAGGCATGCTAGTTGAAATCGACAGTTGAGCTTCTGGTTACCCTGGACACGCTTTTGTATTCCTTGCTAGGGAGGCACTTGGGCCTGGGTGCTGGCTTGTGCCCTTACTCAACACTGAGCTTCCAGCCGCGACACAGATGGGTTAATATAGGGGCCTTAATAATTACCTAGTATATTGTGGGATTCCTTAATGTAATTATAGTATAATGGGCCCCAAACCCAATTCTAATTTTTAAGGAAACTATCTTAGCATCTTTTGTGGGACACTCGGCCCCCGCATATTTCATGCTTGCACCGCAGAGAGCACATCCGTCTTGCCACTGCAACGTAATGCAACTTACAGTCTAGTCCTGCAAAGACGTGTCCAAGATGAATGTACCAAAACGAAGAGGCATCATGCATCTAGATGACTGGGTAAACAGATTGAGGCCAATCATGGTGGCCTTGAGTGCAGCCTTCTGGTCCCCGATCTTCTACCACCGGGTGCCTGGCCTGTGGTTTGGCTCGCGTGGTAAAGGTTCGTGCTGCCAGATGCTTTTTGTGCTATAGTCCGACTTCTCTCAAGAACGACGAGTAGACGTTCTGCTGTGTGTGTGTGTGTGTGTGTGATTGTGTCTGGGCATAGACAAAGTGTTACACAAAGGTCTGAGTAGTACATTTGTGTGTGCAAACCTGCGTGCATAATGCACGCAGACAAAACGTATGCCAATCCACACTTGTTTGCAGCATATGCGCCTTTACCGCAAGTGTAATTAATGTCGGTATAGAGCAATTGCCCAAACGAGAACTCCAGCCTATGCCGGTACAGGTAGATACTCATGCTCAGCACAACATGTATATAGTGTGGGATGGGAGTAAGCAGGGGCTTGCCAGACTGGTCTGTGTCCATAGCCAAATTATGCAGTTGTCGACGTTGTAGCAGGTATTGACCAGCTGAAACTTTCGGTCACTGCGGCTGCTGCTTTCTTGCTTTTGTTGCCATGTCACAGTGGCACAGGCAGCTCTCTTCGAAGGCCACACCCTTAGTGGCTGCTTGCGGCGGACTTGCAACCCCATTTGCGAGCTTGGGCTGCAGACCCAGGTTCTGTGCACCACGCTTCACTTGGCGGCATTCACACTCCCACGCTGCAGGTGGCTGCACAGGATTTTCGCAGTCGTTGCAGAACCCTGGGCTCATTGCCCTTGCCCTCTGAGGGCATTGGGCCAATCGTAGCGACTCCTCCCCTAGTTGTTGCATGACGACTTGTGTTTGCGCAAAGCAGATCTTTGTGGCATTCTAGGAACCTCATTGTCATATTTTAAACGCAGACGTTCTGCATGGAGTGGTTTTAGCAGTTGGCTAGATTTTGTTTCTAATAATGCTGCCGAATGGCTTGGTGTCCGTTCTGTTTCTTTTAGAGAATTGGGGGATGGAGCATCGTGCCCTATTAAGTCTTCCACCCAGAATTCTGACGACAAAGCCGCTGCAGATGCAAGGCACATAGTATTCCTAGTAGAGTAGGTAAGCTGTAACCTTTTTTGGGTAGTATAGCCCCTTTATAATCCCTATATAACCAAAAAGGCTAACCTTTAGTTCCCCATGATACCCGACAAGTAGGTATTTGTTAACACTGAACAAGCAAACCGCCGGGGCTCTCCAAACTCCACTTGGAGGGTCGGGGGACTTAGTAATTGGTTATTTTGGGGACTTATAAGCACCATACCCCCAATTAAGGTCCCTTTTAGGGTACTTATAAGTCTACTTACTACCTACTTACTAAGTCCCCCGACCCTCCAAGCACGCTGGAGAACTGCAGGAAGGGGCGTCAATGTTCAGCTGAAGCTTCTCTGTGAAAGGCGTACAGGGCCTTTGTACTTTCCGGGGTTCATGCTCATGACACTAAAGGAACTTCACAGTATTCGTGGCAACTGGCCGAAATTATCAATCATGAGCATGACTCTTTCGAACTTTAGACCCGTGTGAGAGCACCGCCGTCAAGCCGAGCACCGCCGTCAAGCCCCTACCCGCACATCCAGACTCCGCTGCCGGCAGCATTTCGGCTCCCAGCCCACACTGATAACATCCACCATGAGCGCGCACACACACACACACAGCATTTTCGGATAGGTCTGTGGGGGGCTGGTTTCATGCTTCCTCTTTGAAGTCGTGGTAGAGGGGGGGAAGGGTCCTCCCGAAGACGACCGCGCCAAGACCCATCACCACGAAGAAACCTGTGAATTCTGACACTAGTGGCCTGAAGGTGCCTCAAGAGTCTGTCAGAGTGCAAAGCCGAGTATAGATGCAAAAAAGCACCGCAGTGTGTCCTCTTGGCAAATGGGCACATCTACACCTAGATACTGAAGGACGTAGACGGACCGAGCTGCCGGACGAAAAAATCAGTCACGAAAACTGCGACCAGGAAGCACCAAACGAAAGCAAGTACCTTAGCGTGAGTAGCCATGTTGGGGCCCGGGGCTGCAAAGTTCCCACCCTTCGTGCCTCTCCCGGGTAGCCCAGTGGCACTACTGTAGCCGGGAGTACTGACTTTGACTTCAAGTGCTTGGGGGTCTGTAATTAGTGCATTGGAGAGAGCCTCGGGCAATCTCTCTGCATAGACCTACAATGCTTGACATTGCGGTTCAAAAGATTAGAGACCTCACAGGGTTGTTTCGTCGAAGTCAAGGTCGCTCTTGCAGGACCGGGCTTGCTGCGCCTGAACCTAAACTACAAAACCCTTCCTTGATTTTCCAGTTCGTCTGCTTTTCAACATTCGTCTAATGAAAGTAGGTTTTCAGGCGTGATTCTGGTAGTCCTCTCGGCGTTGCCGAGATGTGCACTAGCTGTAAGGGTGTTCTTGGCGACATACCCATTATCAACAACTGCACGCTGTTTGTTCCAGGTAGGTTTCAGGATTCTTGCCGGGCATTCGACTTGGATCGAAAATGGCGGCAGTCCAGAGACCCGTAACCATGCATTTGCAACCTTAATGTCCGGTTGTCCAACGCATGTCTGGCACAAGAGGAACTCGCAAAGCCTCTACATCGGGACCCCAAGCTGAATTCCCTTAGAAACCCTTGAAGGGACCCATTTTGCAGACCTGAGGCATGGGCTTCATGCCGCCGGGTGCAGGCACGATGCCGGCGCCCACCGCACCAGGCACCACGTCGTGTTCGGGACTCCGAGAACATGACTGAGACGCCACAAGCCGCAGGTTGTACGGTTCGTTTTATATCTGCATAGTAGGAATGCAAAGGCAATCCTTGTTTCAATCGTCCACCTATATACCTTTTCTATAGACAGGTCAAGTCATCATGCGCAGCTTAGCACTCCAATCCCTCATCACGGATTGTCACTCGTGCTTCAACAGCTTACCAAAAGTGATGCTTCTTTTGTTAAGCACGGGTCTCAAGTGGTGAGTTGTCAAGGCATCGTAGTTGGTCAGATGGTGCTATGTTTGCTTGTAGATTTAAGATCGAGGGTGCTGGGTGCAGGGTAGAGGGCTGAAGTTTCCGTTGAAGCCGCCGTCGAATGACATGATCTCTCGGCAGTTCATTCCCGTTTGCGCGGAGAGGTCGTGCAATGGGCTTATGTATTCGTGCGCTTAGCCGACTGTCCGACACTCGCGGTCTCTTGCAGGGATGATGATGCCACCACGCCCTGGTATGCCAGCTGCGCTGCCGGCCGACCCCTCAGGGGAATGTGAGGGCATGGTGTGTTTTAAGTTCGCTGGGCTGTTTGATAGTGTCGTGTTTAACAGGCTCCGAGGTGTATTGAAGATTTCGATGCAGGGTTCGCCAAGACGAGGCTGTGCCTGTTGTCAGTTCTCAAAGACTTTGCCGTCTGTGTCCCTCAAAGAAACACAAAAATGAATTGAATCCGCTATGTGCAAAGTTTGACATACGAGGTCTTCATCCTTTGTGAGCGTGTAAGCAGGGTAAAGGTAGTCTGCCAAATCGTAAATGCTTGCATGCTAGGCATACCAGTGGCTTTACAATTCACGAGAGCTGCCGGAGCCCCGAGCATGCAGAAAACCTTCTGCCAAGTATCGCAAGTCCTTGCCGACGTGCGCGGTATCCTTGCCTGCTGTGTACCCGAGCGAATGCAATCGTACGGAAACCAGGCTAATATAGGGACCCAAACAATTACCAATAATACTGGTTATTGTCGGTGTTCCTTGTAAATATGGTACGATGGGCCCCAAAACCTGATGCAAATCATTAAGGCCCCTATATCATAGAGCCCCATTATAGAACCCTTTAAAGAACCCTTAAGGGAACCTTATATTCTGATTATTAAGGCCCTTTTGTAGAAATGGCCTCCAGCAGAGGTCGGGATGCCAACCGCAGTGCCATTGCCTGGGATGAACGGCTGCCTGGCAGGAGGGATGGCTTCAGTGTGTAGAGGCTGGTTTGTGAGGGATTCCGCGTCAAATCTTTGATATGATCATCGTTTCAAAAGGGGAAGTTGACAAGGACAGAATCCCTTAATAATCAGAATATAAGGTTCCCTTAAGGGTTCTTTAAAGGGTTCTATAATGGGGCTCTATGATATAGGGGCCTTAATGATTACTTTCTTGCAGCAGCAACCGTAGCCGCCAGACTTCAGCCCGAAGACTTGACCCGGCTGGCCAAT